GCTGGGAGGATGGATGCTGGGAGGATGGATGCTGGGAGGATGGATGCTGGGAGGATGGATGCTGGGAGGATGAATGCTTGGAGGATTGACGCTGGGAGGTTGGATGCTAAAAGGAGGAATGCTGGGAGGATAGACGTTGGAAGAATGCAGGTTTCGGGAGATGCAAAGAATATAGAAGCGGTCACCCTGCTAGCTGGCCATGCCGATATGCTATGACGGAAACCACGCGTGTGGTAGAGGCTGCCGCAGACACGAGCTTTCGACTCAGCAGATGAACTCGCTACGCCGTCAGCTAGGCACATATCTATATTGTATGCGAGAGGTCTGAGGTGAGTTTACCACCTCTTGAAGCGATGGTTTTACTACTAAACATCAATTAATTTACTATTCAACATCAATATGTTGACATATAGTTTATTATTTGGCGGCAATACCTTGGTTTAATGTTCAAAGATGTTTTCATATCAATATCAGTATAATATAATATATAAATAATATCAGGAGTTAATAAAGACAAATTGTCTTTATTAACTCCTGATAATATGTACACTATAAATATATTTGCATCCTAAACCACCAAACATCGTCGCGATTTAATTTCTACCCGAATATTATAAGAAGCATTTGACGGTACAATTAAACGGTGATTTCATCGCTTATCAATATCAGCAGTGAATATTAATAGATATTATTATTCACTCCTGTCAATATAAAGATTTACTGCACTGACCATCATATAGGACATTATTCGTACATTTGTGTACATTGTGATAATATAAAGCTAATGTTGACGTGTTATTGTAGTTTACAAATGATGCAGTCTTCATTACTTCATACCTACAGGGTATAAGAGCTGATAATGCTCGTTGCCAAAAGTCTACTTTGCTAAACAAAGGCTTTGCTCCTGACATTGCAATAAGCCCGTGCCATTATTTGTTCTAAATATCACACCACACCGTGTGACTACGTAAAACTATTTGAGATTCGTACATTTATTGTATCGTATTCTATGTACTTCTTTTGCCAGCAAAATAATTTGTAAAAATAATTAGCACAAACTGGGATTAATTGTAACGAGCCAAGCATTATGAAACTAAACTATAGCAATTATAAGAATCCTGCAGCATAGTATTTGCTAGGAAAATGAACCCGGTTGTACGTCGCGCTCGTCAATATGAGACACTAGTAGATTCTTACGTATGTCAGACCAAGCCTTACTAGATATTACTACATGTCTATTATGTCGATAGAAGATTTCTTCGTGAACAAGTGAGTGTTATACGTGTTAACATCGTAATTGTCACATTTTTCTCTACTGCGATTAGACTGACAACCTGGCTTCTCTCGTGGGCGCCGTAGCAATTGATTAGATAAAGCAGAGATCGTCTAACCCTGAACGGTTAATAGTCGCACACCTATAACCTGACCGAAAATCTGGATCCAAAATATTCAAATATACTTGGACAGCAAACAAACAAATAGCGGATCAAACATCCCCTAGACACGGCGTCTCTTCCCCGCTGTTCTACCACGCTGGGACCGCGCGGCGGGGCATCGCAGGGTAACGCCAGTGTTAGTGGCTGCGTCGTGACGGGACATCTAGCGGAATGCTGACAAGATAAACACGCCTTCAATACCCGCTAGCGTCCTCTCATCTAGAGGACGAAACACAGATTAAACTGCCAACCGTCGGCGATGTTCATACATGTAGCCTATGTCGGTATGTACACGCACAGTCATTCTCCAAAGTAATGACATCTAGCTATTTCTTTAGTTCCGCTTCAGAAATGTCTCACTATGGTTGCAAACGATTTATGCGTGTTATCGAATTTATATATAACGATAGAGAAATTATAGGGAATAGCTCGATTCTTGATAATGGATTCTTTACTGATTGTAATCAGCGTATTTATGATACATAAATAGTATGTAAAAAAAATAAATAGATAGTTTGAAAAGAATCGATCATAAATATAATCCGTGAACCGATAAATTCACGTGTTCAGAGCCTCTCTTCATGTTTACAGCCTTACAACGAGTAACCTTGTTTCGCCTATCTCATTGCCTATTATATATAGTTAACTTTATACTTTTTACTTTTGAAAACCTAAATGTGTTTTGGGGTAACAGTTCAAATAATATATTTTTAAATAACGGACAGAGTAATAATCCTTACATTGTAAATCGACAATAACAGAAGACTATTCGATTGTTGCTTGCGAAATGCTACGTAATGATTCATTGTGTATTCATTTATTCATGAGTTATTCCGTCGAATGCCTGAATCACTAAATGGGGTATGTGTTGGCGCCATCGTGCGGAGATAAAACCCAATAACATTCAAGTGTTACCGCGACTCGGATGCCGCGTACGTACGTGTCTCTAATAATCAATATAGCTATATAATATTGTTTTTATTCACCCCTGCCGTTAATATATAGTATATAATATAATTGTATATAATTTGAACAACGGAAGGAAACATTCATGAGTGCTTTAATATTAAACCAGAAAAGTAATTGTTATATAGTTTGGTAATTTGAGCATGCACGCAAAATTCAGATTCCAAGTTTAATTTCCTCCATAATGCCGACTTTGACTGAAGTACGCGTACAAGACAAAGGGAATATAATGACGTAACAGCAAACTGTTTTAGTGCAGTTTA